CTTGAACATGTTCCGTTCTTAATGACAATTTTCCCACTAATTATGTCATTAAAAAAATTATAATAAACATCTCTGTCGCGAAGTTGTTATAAGATATTATTCTTGCTGAATTCCTTGAGAGAGAGTGAGAGAAAAAAAGAGAAAGAGAGAGAGAATGAGTGTGTGATAGAAAGAGAAAGAGAAAAAGAAAGAGAAAGAGAGAGAGAATGTGTGTGTGAGAGAAAGAGAAAGAGAAAAAGAAAGAGAAAGAGAAAAAGAAAGAGAAAGAGACACAGAATGTGTATGGGGAGAGTGAGAGAGAGAGAGAGTGAGAGGGAAAAAAAGAAAGAGAGAGAGAATGAGGGTGTGAGAGAAAGAGAAAGAGAAACAGAATGTGTGTGGGGAGAGAGAGACAGTGAGAGAGTGAGAGTGAGAGAGAGTGAGAGAGAGAGAGTTGAGAGAAAGAGAGAGAGTAACAAAGATCGAGAGAAAGAGAGAGTAACAAAGATCGAGAGAAAGAGAGAGAGAGTGAGAGAAAGAGAGAGAGAGAGAGTGAGAGAAAGAGAGAGAGAGTGCGAGAAAGAGAGAGAGAGAAAGTGAGAGAGAGTGAGAGAAAGAGAGAGAGAGTGAGAGAAAGAGAGAGAGAGTGAGAGAAAGAGAGAGAGAGTGCGAGAAAGAGAGAGAGAGAGAGAGAAAGAGAGAGAGAAAGAGAGAAAGTGAGAGAGAGTGAGAGAAAGAGAGAGAGTGAGAGAAAGAGAGAGAGTAACAAAGATCGAGAGAAAGAGAGAGAGAGAGAACGAGAGGTAGAGATCGAGAGATCGCGAGTGAGTGAGAGGGAGAAAGAGAGAGAGAGAAAGTGAGAGAGAGTGAGAGAAAGAGAGAGAGTGAGAGAAAGAGAGAGAGTGAGAGAGAGTGAAATAAAGAGAGAGAGAGAAAGAGGAGAGAAGAGGAGAGAGAGAGAGAGAGAGAGAGAGAGAGAGAGAGAGAGAGAGAGAGAGAGAGAATAGAGTAGATAAGAAAGTAGAAAGTAGGGTAGAGTAGTGAGAAATAACAATAATTAATTTCATGATTGGAGAATTTGTCAGGGTGGCGGCCTGAGAATGAACAACTAGGAGTTCATGACTTGTATATGGGTGACGTTCGGACTTATTTTAGTCCTTCATCAGACATAACGTTTCTTGCAAGTTATCAATCATTCATCAATCAATTCATAATGTGAATATGCGTGTGTTCAGTCACGCATGTGTGTGTCCAAGACTCTAGGGAAACGAATTTACATTGACAGCATGAGATTATTTTATAACCATTCTTCTGTCAATGTCAAGTCATTCTGCTAAATGTTGTTGCCATCACCCATTGATTTTCGAGGAAGACGACTTTTGTCACCTCCGCCGTCTATTAATACAACCAGCAAGGTTTTATCTTCCTTCTTGTTTTTTTCGTCAATTTAATTGTTATTTTCACCTCTTTAAAGCTCGAAAGCCTATTGTGTTAATGCAATCTAATGGCTTCATCCTTGAAGGCGCTAAACGCAGCAAAACACCCATTAGCCTCTGAAGTCGTGGCGTTTGTAGTTTTTGGACGATAACCCATGGATTCTGTCATTGGGCAAGATTGAAATCGGAAATCCATCACTGGCAAAATAGAAAACGGAACAAGGGCAAATAGATTTATCAACTTGAAGGGCGTCTTTCTTAAAAAGGGCATTGTTGAAATTTGTGAAGCTTATGAAAAATTGGGGCGATAAAATACCAGCTATCTTCCAACTTTCGATTTTAATAACAACATACCAACAATCTTTAACCAAAAGACTTTAATTTAAAAAAAAAAATCAAATGAATATAAATCATCCAATGAAGACCAAAAATCATTCTCAATTTTATAAATGCTTGAAGAAAATTTGCTTTACAAGAAGAAAATATTGATTATTGCTTTATTTGTTTATGCCTACGTAAAAGTAATACCAGTACTATGTAAAAGTAATTTAAAGGACGAAGTAGTCCCCAAAAATAATCGAGCCGGACAACACGACGTCAGGTATATAAGAAGGTTGTAGACTGCTTCAATTTTTCCACATTTTGCTAGTGACAGGTTGAGACAAGACCCATCTTTATCGATTTGTTGTGTCCATATGTATATATAGCTAAAGGCTATAAAATTCAAAATAATCTGACCATGGAGGAAATTTGAAATAGAGCAAGTGAAACGTCCTTAACAGCTTGATAGGAAGCATCAGAGGTCTTACTTATTTCCCAACTATAAGAAAAATAGCTACTACTGTATACCCAATCCCCAAAAGTACAAAAGCGACCCAAAACGTTATCTCCTAATAAGTGTCGTTTTTTTCTAAAATCTACAAACAGCCTGCCTTGGTTTCTTGTAAACCGGTTGTAGAAGATTTTCTTTTTATACGACCTTCGCAATCTGTTCTTTGTTTTGTTCTATAATTTACACAACAACGCACAGGATATAATCCTGGATATAAACAAAATACAATTCCAGCGCAATCCATGTCATGAAGGAAAAATAGGCTAAAATTATGCTATAAAATGGCTTAACGAAAATGTTAGAAATAAAATGTCTTAGGGGATTTCGAATGCGTTATGACTTTTGACCTAAGAAGGTGTCGCTATTTATTCCCAAGGATTTCTTTTTATTAAATATTTACAATTTTCATTTTCAAAAACATCTCACTACAAAAAGTTCAGAAAATCCTCTTGAATGAACACTCCGCAGGAAAGTAGTTAAAATCAAATATAAACAGTTAGAAATCATTAATAAAATATATGGTTATAAATTTGTAAGTCCACAATTGTGAAGTTGTTCGTCTATCATCGTGTGAACAGTGGAATCTTATCTCAACACTGATCATCCTGGTCCGCCCTCCCTCGCTTTGTCCAGTTATACGCAGCTAATAGTAGAGTGTGTTAAGCCGTTTTAAATATCTTTAGATTTTATTATTGAAGTTCCACAATTAAATAGGTCCACAAAAAAGTATTGAATGCATTTTTAAATTAAAAGTTTTATAAATCAAAATTCAAGTAAGATTCAATGGTTAAGAAAAACGGTTAGCAACGTCCAAAAAATATCTTCGGAAGTGTCGGAGGTCAAATATAATAACGAAATTGAAGTGTATGTATTACAAAAAACGTCATTGTTTATAAAATCGGTTGATAATTATTTTTCAAGGTGCAAGGAACTCAACTTTGAATATTAATTTATTTTCCAACGGGTTCTCTGCTCAACTTTGAACGATATATTACAATTAATTAAGATTTTTAGTTGAGATAAAAAAGTCAATGGCACGAGCGGGATTCGAACCCACGATCTTCGGCTTGATACGCCGCTGCTCTACCACTTGAGCTATCGTGACCTCAACTCGCTCAAGTGGTAGAGCAGCGGCGTATCAAGCCGAAGATCGTGGGTTCGAATCCCTCTCGTGCCATTGACTTTTTTATCTCAACTAAAAATCTTAATTAATTGTAATATATTAATTGGTCAAGCGGACCACGAAATTAGTGAATTTGAACGATATGTTAAAAAAAGACTTTTACAGTGTAGACGGTACAAAGCTATTTAGCATTAAGCAAGTTGGCCAAGAAAATATCACCAGAGGTTTTGAGTTTTCATTGTATAATTAAAATGGTAAAAATTCGAAGAGATTTAAAAAACGTGTAATATTTTATTTTACTTCCAATGACAATTATACAACTAACATTGCATTTTATATCTAAAATGATAGGAATAGAAGGGCTGATAATTCAAAAATTTGCAACACAGTTTTTTCGCTTATTTTTCGGCATATGCTAGAGAAATAAAAGGCTTTATTTCCAAGTGTAAATATTGCTAAAACAATATTTGCTTGACAGAATACTCAGTTTCATAGGTGAACCTTACTAGGATTTCAAGACATTTTTTCTTGGTGATAATAAGTCGAAAAATAATTTAAAAATATTACTTATCAGTCGAGTTTGTTTTTCACTTAGGATAAGAAAATAATATGCTGGATGGTACGAAATGAGAATAACTAGATAAAAAGTAAAAAAATAAATAAAAAATGAAAATACACTTTTTGTAAATCCCAGGCCCTGAAGATGATCTCAATAAAGATCGAAACGTTGGCACGATAAAGAAAATGTTTTTCTGACACCTACAACATACCAGACCGCATCTCACGATTTTCGAATAATCAGAATGAATAAATTAATGAATTCACCAAACTATTTTTTTAAGTTTCTCTATATTTTGAAAATATAACATATACGTATAATATATTGAGAGATTTCTTTATTTGGCCTGAGGATTGATGAATGAGCAAATTGGAAGTTACCGATCATTTTGGCCTGCCTACTCTCCACTGGTTGGTATGTCAGAAGTGTTTCAGCAGTTGCCATCTTCAGTGTGCGAAATGCCGACATGTCTGACAAAAATTATCGGTAAAGATCAAATTGATCATTCATCAATCCTCAGGCCACATACAGAAATCTCTCAATATACCTTCTTATCAGCGTTGAATTAATTTTTTCTCAAGCAAATCCTTCAAATATATATTTTCTAATAAATCCAATATATCTTTACTTTTCTTTGTCATTATACAGGGTGGGTGAACCAATGACGCTATCAAAAAAACAAAAGAAACGTTTTAATATTTTTTTTTAGCCTACTTTAAAATTTTTACATTTTTTGGAAAAAAATTATAGACCTCAGGTCCAGTTCAACTTCAAAACTTCCAATAAGACCCAATATTCTCGTTAACGTAAGAAGAATTTTCCTTTTTCCAAAAATTAGGGATGGCTAGGGACTTAGTACCTCAGGACCAGTTCAACTCCAAAATTTCAAATATAGCCTGACACATCATTTTAAAGGATTTTTTTACGCTGAAATCAATGGTGCAGTCAGATTTTAAATTGGTCAAAAATGACAAAGTTATTGCAAAAAGTTTGTAAAAAGCAACACATTATTAATCACATTTCATGTTCGAACTGCCTGCCTTGTAACGTGGAAAGATTTGCTCTTTTTACCTCTCTTCAGCGGTGCGCAGAGCGATAGTCAGAGGAGATGGACTGACAAGCATTTTCTATCCTTTGCTGCAGTTCTTCAACTGAGGTTGCTGGTTGTGGTTAGCGTAGAATCTGTTATTTAATTTGCCCTATAGAAAATAGTCAATTTGAGTTAAATCGGATGACCGAGGAGGAAAACAGATCAGGCCATGAGGTCTACCACCTATCCCGGAAGTGACAATTCAAATAACGTCTCACCTGCAAAGAATTGTGTGCGGGGCATCCATCCAACTGAAGAATCATTCTTTGTCGTTGTTGCAGAGGAACATCGTCTAAAAAACCTCCTTCAAAAAATTGAGGAACTGAGCACCATTTATATTATTTTCGTAGAAATAAAGCCAAATTAATTTATTTCCGAGAAGTCCACGTCAAACGTTGATACTATGAATCACCTGATGACAAGAGTACGAAATTCTCGGGTTTTCCCTGCTCTCGAAAATTCCAGTGGTTTAGTAATCCATTAAAGGTGAATTTGGATTCTTCGTAGGATGTATGGAAGAACGTTTTCTTCAGGCTCCCAAATCGACATTCGTGCAAGGAACGTTAGACTGTCATAATCAGAGTCCCGAAGTCCCTGGACATTATGAGATCGAAGTCCGGAGTTTTTAATTTTATTTTTTGAAAAACCCAAAACCCTTCCAACAGTTTGGAGAGGAATTTGGATTTTCGCGCACATACAGTAAAATATTCAGCTGCTGGTTTCTTGGTGATGGAACACCTACTGATCCATATGTCCACTTATTGCAAGCAACACGAAAAAACGTTTTGTGGTTTACTCAGGGGCGATCAGGAAATTCCGTGTAGTACGACTCGTCTGCACGAAGCACAACTGCCACTATCAATATTCGTTCACATCAACTCGCTGTTGATCGGAAAAATGTGCTCTTCGGTTCAGTTTGAATGGAATACTGAATGTAACGAATAGCCGCTATTGTAAAATTTATTTACTTCCATGAATTAAGATTTGCTCTCATAATGCGAGTTTGACAAACAATGACATAATGTAAACAATAAAGGCAATTGTTTACCTTAGGGAAGAAGCAAATTATTGGAATAAACAACGAAACAAACGAAATTCGTTTTTTCAAACTTTTTGCCATAACTTTGTCATTTTTTGATCAATTTAAAATCCGATTATACCATTGTTTTCAAGGCACAAAAACCTTTAAAATGATGCCAGGGTGTATCGGGTCGTATTGGAAATTTTGAAGTTGAACTGGGCCTTAGGTACCTGGATAATTTTTCTCCAAAAAAATGTAAAAATTTGAAACTAGACTAAAAAATATTAAAGACGTGTTTTTTGGTTTTTTTTAGATAGTGTCACTGGTTCAAGAGAAATTTAGCCGGGCCATCTAAAAAGGACACCCCGTATAATGGTGAGAAGTAAAACAACTTACAAAAAAAAAGTTAATTCTAAAAAAATGCGTATTCACAAAATCGTATTAGTGTGAATTTACTGCTACATACCTTTTTACATATTATATACAACAAACTTTTAACATTAAAATAAATAAAATAAAATCTGTACATGGCCTCTTATTAAAACCCTATTGGAATGTTTCAAACTTGTAAATAAAAACAAATCCAAACAAAAATGCAATGCAAGAGTTTTTGATAAAAACTTTGACTCAACCATGAAAAATCAGGGGCAATGTGAATTTGAAAAAAAAAGCTTAGTTTTTCGTCAAGCATTCAAGGAATATATCCTATTCGTCAAAACTTTGAAATTATTTTAATTAATTATTTATACATTTAAAAAACAGAATAATCTCTTCGCAATATTAAAAATCATGGCTTCAGACTTCATGAATTTATGAGTGACGAGACTATCACCCCTTCATTCTTCATTAACAGTGGACAACTAGAAAGTTATTTTTCCTTTCAAATTCGCCTTGTTCAAAAATAAAGGCAATTGTTTACATTAATGAAGAAGCAAATTATTGGAATTAACAACGCAATGCGTTTTTTCAAACTTTTTACCACAACTTTGTCATTTTTTGAGCAATTTAAAATCCGATTATACCATTGTTTTTAGCGTAAATAAATCTTTTAAAATCATGTGTCAGGGTGTATCGGGTCGTATTGGAAATTTTGAAGTTGAACTGGGACTGAGGTACCTGGATAATTTTTCTCCAAAAAAATGTAAAAATTTGAAACTAGACTAAAAAATATTAAAGACGTGTTTTTTGGTGTTTTTAGATAGTGTCACTGGTTCAAGAGAAATTTAGCCGGGCCATCTAAAAAGGACACCCTGTATAATGGTGAGAAGTAAAACAACTTACAAAATAAAATGTTAATTCTAAAAAAATGCGTATTCACAAAATCGTATTAGTGTGAATTTACTGCTACATACCTTTTTACATATTGTATACAGTAAACGTTTAACTTTAAAATAAATTAAATAAAATCTGTAGACGGCCTCTTATTAAAAACATTGGATTGTTTCGAACTTGTAAATAACAACAAATCCAAACAAAAATGCAATGCAAGAGTTTTCGATAAAAATTTGACTCAACTATGAAAAATCACGGACAATGTGAATTTGAAAAAAAGGCTGTTAAAATGTTAATTCTAAAAAAATGCATATTCACAAAATCGTATTAGTGTGAATTTATAGCTACATAACTTTTTACATATTATTTATAGTAAACTTTTCACTTTAAAATAAATTTAACATAATCTTTAGATTGCCTTATTATTTAAAACATATTGGAATGTTTCGAACTTGTAAATAAAAACAAATCCAAACAAAAATACAATACATATGAATACTACAATATATGAAAAATCAAAAACCAATGTGAATTTGAAAGAAAGAAAAATGTTTAGTTACTTCGTCAAGTATTCGAGGAATATATTCTATTCGTCATAACTTTGAAACTATTTTTAATTAATTATTTATACAGTTAAAAAACCTAATCATCTATTCAGAATATTAAAAATCATGGCTTCAGACATGACCAATTTAAAATCCGATAGGACCATTGTTTTAGCATATCACATTTAAAATGATGGGGTCAGGATGTATAGGGTCGTATTGGAACTTTTGAAGTTGAACTGGGCTTGAGGCACCCTGTATAATTTTTCTACAAAAAAATACTAAAAAACATTAAACCGGTTTATTTTATTTTAATTATTTTATTATTATTTTTTAAATAGGACACCCTGTATAATGGAGAGAAGTGAGTAAAACAACTTACAAAAAAAAAAAAAAAAAAATGTTAATACGAAAAATACGTATTCACAAAATCGTATTAGTGTGAATTTATAGCTACATAACTTTTTACAAATTATTTGTAGTAAATTTTTCACTTTAAAATAAATTTAACGTAATCTTTAGATTGCCTTATTGTTAAAAACATATTGAAATGTTTCGAACTTGTAAATAAAAATAAATCCAAACAAAAATACAATACAAGAGTTTTCCATAAAATCAAGTATTCAAAAAAGACTTTTTTGAATGGTATCTGCGTATTTTGTTTTTATTATAAAATATTTGACTGTAGAGGGGTTTAAATAAAAAATTAGAGTAATCGCAAAATATATTGATTTAAAATCCAAAGTTACTGATTTACCAGTGTAGGCCGAAAAAAAGATTATCTTCTGGGTTTTTAGGCCATTAATTGTCGTAGTATTTCCAGTATAAAGGTTTTATTATTCAAATTACTTTTTTTCAAATTTGAATGGCAAACAACTTTGCGTGTTGTGGAGAAAACCGTTACTGATGTCGAAGAAAAAATTAAGTATTCAAAAAAGTATTTAATCGGTATTTATTTTTCCACCAGGTACGCACCTCAGAAAGTCCAAGAAATCCTTGAAGAACCCTTGCGTCACGAGTTTAATTAATTTATTATCACGACATTCCCTTCGGCCCGAAGGCACAGCACAACATGTGGGACTTTGTTTGCTTATATGGCGTGTTTGTACTCGGCTTATCTTGCCATCGGTCGCTGAGAGAAAAAAAATTCTGAATCGCATCGAGCACTGCTGTGCGCTGTAGAGCGTTACCGTTTTCCAGACGGATAAATAAATCCGAATTGCGTAACCGTTGAGGTAACGCCACTGACCGACAATGGACAATGATCTAGCACACCATATCGAAAGCCAAGAGTGGTAACATTAGTTAACTTTTTCTCATACAGAATACGTTTCCCATTTCCATCTCGGACACTGGTCACTTTTACAAAAGGTACTAAAGAACAGTGGAAGAAATCAAAATCTTAGCTACCATAAAAATCCATCAAGTTTTATAATAAACTATAACTAAAAAATGACGTAAACTAAACAATTTTTGGTTAAAAGTCGTATTTTTCTTATTCAACTGATTAAAAAATGAATTCAATATCATGAGAGGAAACAAAAAGTGATTGTACAATTTGTACGTTGAAAACTGCTAAAATAACTCGTGCAAATGGGTATTTTTTGGTAGTACAAATATTGGTCTATACAGCATTTAATCAAATAGTGTGACAATTTTGATAATCCCAGCTGATGTTTAAAATAGTGGAATTTTAATTGATGACACCAACATTTCAGATTTTTACTGTTTTAATGACATTTCACAAAATAAATAATACAGTAGTATCACATATAAAATAATAAATAATAAGAAAAAAGAAATACGTGTAATATCATGAAGACCATATTTTATTCAATATTTTTTCAATACTTTAAAACATATTTTCTTAAATAAATTTGCATCTTTGAAGTATTTATTTAAGTATTTCAATAGAGTAAAGTATTTAGTAGAACTATTTCAATAATTTAATAGAAATAAATTTGGAGCATTTGGATGTATGAAACAATTAACAAGTAAAATCTTTTAAATTTTTCATAGCGGATTTTTGTTTATTTTTTTGTATAGAGTTTGGACCCTGGTTCGGGACATTCTTATTGCCCTCAATATCGTGAAATCCGAAAATCTATCCCCGAATTCGAACCCAACTTACTCACAGATGGGATTTATTTGGACTGGAACCCACGTTAAAACGAAAATCATTTAAATTTTTATTCCAATTTTTTAAAATATTTTCATTAATAAATAGATGTTTTTAATACTCTTTACCAAAAGGGAGGAAGTTACCATTCGGACGTTGACTTAAGATGACTCTTTTTTCCTCTCTTACTCACACTCTCACTCACTCTCTCTCGCTCACTCACTCACTCACAAACTCACTC